GCGCCGGCGCCTGTGGCGCGGACGCCGGACGGTTTTGGGCCAAGCGGATGAGATAGTCTTGTGAAGGAGTTAAGCTACCTAGGGACAAGTTTCCATCTATTTTGATGATTTAGGGTGTTTTGGCGCCGGCGCCTGTGGCGTGGGCGTCAGGCGGTTTCGGGCGGATGTGATATTCATGTTCAGGAGGTCACTGGGGTAGGACTACTTCAATAGTGCCCCGCGCGCTTGTAATTGTAGTCTGTGAAGCGCCTGAATGCATGTGAAAGCGCGTGCTTTAAGGCGTTCAAGCGCAGCAAAGCGAGTTCTCAAACGATGCACCGGCATACCATGAGCAGCAACCCGTGTTGCTGCGCTTGAAAGCGCGTTGAGTAATGCTGTCTCAGGGATCCACCGGGATACTACTGGAGGGATGCTAGGGACTCTGGGCTGTATTTCCGAGCTGAGCAGATGGAGAAGACAAGGAAGGATATCACTAGCGGAACTGTGGCTCATTTTACAAGACCTAGTATTGTAGTAACCATATAGTAACCAGCCGGCTTCATCTCCTTCTGAGATAAAGCACAACTTCGCAGAGCGGGCGCGGCTTCGCCGCGCTTATCTTCTTCCCGCATTTCAATACCCACCTAATCCGACTTATCTTTTATTTGAACAGATGGACAACATTCTTTGACCAATAGCATGTTAATACCACAACATCTTTCAACACTATTACGGTGTATGGAATGGTGGTAAGGAGCGCTGATCAAGAGGACAGATGAGAGAAAAGCGGGGTATTAGTCGAGCATTTGATGCAGGTAGGGACGACGGAGCCACGCCCCGCAAGGCCGGGCATCACAGAGGAGGTCTGGAGTGCCTGGTGTGCTCTGAACCGCTTGGAGTTTTGAAGGGCGGCCCCGCCCACCTCGACCCACGCTCCACCCGCAACGGCTATGCCTCAAACTTGTGAACCGGTGACCCCTCGATGACCTACTTTTTCCGGTGTTCGGAGTATTCAGGAACCGTTTCAGTAATTTTCAAAATAAGCTCCGCCCACCTAGCCGCACGCTCCTCCCATAACGTATGCCTCGCGCTTCTCGACTGATGACCCTTCGCTGATCTTAAGCTACTTTTTCCTGGTGTCTGGAGTGTTTTGGAACGGTTTAATGAAAATTCTCGATTTAGCTCCGCCCACTTCGCCGCACGCTCCGCCCATAGCGTATGCCTCGCGCTTCCCTATCGATGACCCCTCACTGATTTTGAACTGCTTTTTCTCGCTGTGGAGTGCTCTGGAACCGTTTTAGTAGTTTTTAAGTCTGGCTCCACCCACCTCGGGGCGCGCTCCGCCCACAACGTATGCTTCGGCTTCTCGACCGATGACCCCTCGCTGATCTTAGACTTTTTCGTGGTGTCTGGAGTGTTTTTGAACCGTTTAATGAAATTTTTTTAGTTTGGCCTTGCCCACCTCGGCGCACGCTCCGCCCATAAGGGGGATGTCTCGCAAATTCCTACATGATCACTTGGGGACCATGATCTACTTTTTGGCACCATCTGCAGTGCTTTGGGACTAAGTTACGACTTTTTGTACTGGCACCTCGTTTTCATGCGCACGCCCCGCCCACTTTGGGCGGGCCTCAGCACGCCGCAAACATAGTGGACTCTAATAGTGTCCAGCTTCTCTCTTCATAAAACCTCGGCATTATTGTGAACTTTCAAGTTGTAATGTGTTCTGCCAAAGAGGTTTGTAGGTGGAAGACTTTATTAAACCTACAAACCTTTTTGGCAGAACACATTACAATTCGATAGTGGACTCTTGCGAGATGTCATCTTTGCCCTTGACTTTTCTGCGATTTCCAAACACTTTCGGGAACCGAGTTACCGACCTTTGTGGGAAGCGCCGTCCATCTCAAGTACGTTCCACTCATTTCGGATATGTCTCCACCATTTGGTCTGCCCCAGTGCTCATTACCACTTTTTCCCGTCTCCTAGCTGCTTTGTAGCCAAGTTATGGTGTTTTTTCAGTGACACGTGAAGCGCCGCCCATCTCAAGTACACCCCGCCCGTTTCAGGTAGCCTCCTCTGCTTAGTCGTTCAACCCTTTCTTAACTTTACTGCACGTTTCCTCATCCACTGCTCTGGAACCGAGGTATGACTTTTTTCTATGACATCGCAAACTTTCGGCACACGGCCCGCCCACTGTGAGCGGGGCTTACCACGCGTCATGGGTGCTATTTATGTTCTGCCCCATGCTCTACCCATCCCCACCATGAGTCGACCCCTCCAAGAACTACTTCGGGTGCTATGAATTTCGTGACAAACAGACAGACGCACACACACACGGACATAGCCGATTATATTAGTAGGATATTCATATGGGGTGAAAAGCGTACGAACAAAAGAGTAAATGAAAGAGCCCTTGAAACGCCATTACAGCGAGGAGTCTGTTGGGACTACGACGATTACCCTGGCACTCTTCGTTGACCCTTGCAGCTTTTGACCTGAGCAGTCAATTCTAGAGATTGGTGGGATTGGTCAGGGCACTTGACAATAATTTGGTATTCACATTTGTCGCCGGCGCAATGTGACGCGAATCTGGTGCTACCAGCCTTTTTCTACTGAAATCGTATTTCTATATACCAGGGTTGTAAGGTTGTGTGACGTCCTTATTACGAGCGTAGCATTATTTTTTCAACGCAGGGCCGTTCGATGCCCATGGGCGTCGCTTTGCCGCCTTAATCTTCTCTGATTTACCTCCTGCGACGCGCAAGACTCTTCTCAACTCTGGGTCGAAGTGAAACATTTTACAAAATTGGGTGGGGTTTTACAAACTGAATGGAGCTTCTATGGTGGGCGGATCTACTTGCTGCACCTTAAAGAGGTGAATGAGCAGCAAAAAAAAATTGAAAGGCGTGGCTAATTTGGTGTTGCTCATAATTAAAGCTCGCGTTGCGGTCTATCCAGACAAAACTCTCAAGCTGCTGGATCGGTGCATGAGTGCTGGCATATTTATGCAATCTTAAATCCTGAGGATTAAGTGGGTGTTGTGGCAAATTTACTTCCCATGCTGATTGAATTCGGGCTGTGTTTGTACTTTAAGACGCAGCATAATCGGCGTTTTGGGAGAAAGCGCGAAAGGGGAATTACCGACCGATCAGCGCTAACTCTAGCGTTCAGGCAGAAACGCGCTTTGATGGAACCAGCGTTTTGGGTACCCATCAGTAGCCATACTATCCTCTTCGTTCAAGACGCCTATTCACAAAAGCGGTGATTCTCCCGACAGCTAAGTATGAACAGCGTGAGTGCTGAACATAATTCGAATGCAACTTCGCTGTCTGTTGAGCTTCGCGCTCCAAAGTTCGGCACTATTGAACTATTCCTACTACAAAAAACTCAAAAGAAAATTTTCGCTAAAACGTTGCATATAGATGTACAGCCCTCATCATTATGTACTGCCGGGGCGGTTCAGTGCGGCTGCATTTGGCGGGAGCCAAAGTTGTTCTGCACCAGTTGTTGAAGCGAGCAAGTGACATTACTGTAGTATATCCTACGTATTACTCGTTTTCTACCACTTTTTGCCGCATACGCGTTCCAACAAAAAGGCTGAATACGGCTTCAACAGTGTGCACACTCACACCGGCTGACACGCCCCACCGGTCCGCAAAGATGAGAACTGTAATTCGATGCGCTGATCACGAATGTCACATCAGTTTTGAGCGCTGGCGTCATTTGGCGCCATTATGCGCCAGTTCGGCGCCCATCACTTTTTTCACCAAAGTCGATGAAAACTTGCATATGGAGCTAAAGGCAGCGTTCCGCGATCAACCAAAAGTGAAAAAACCCTCCATGAAAACGAACGCGAGTTCGCAATCACAGCAGAAATCCCACTCTGCGGTCGAAATCGATTGGGTGACGAGGGCGAGTCAGACAGAGCTGAGCTACGCCTCCTCGTTTAATCCGCGCCCGACTGGTTGACATTATCAATGCTTGCTGCTAATTTTATAAACCTAAGTTTCGGAGTTTTTTCCCCCCCCCGAAAAAGCCGGCGAGTGTACTGGAGACTCACCAAAGGTGCTGCGAAACTCGTCACATGCTTTAATTTCGTAGGGTCTTATTATCACACTCTTCCACTAAGTTTTTCCTACTGTTTTCTTTTGATTAGTGTTTTCGTTGGACACTTTCTAACAAATTTGATTCTCCTGAGACCTGCCAAAGTCGATGAAAACTTGCATATGGAGCTTAACCGACATTCTGATTACGAATATCACACTGGTTTTGAGCGCTGGCGCCATTTGGCGACATTATGTCTAGTATGGCGCCAAACGCGTAATGGCGCCAAATGGCGCGAGCGCCAAAAACAATGTCGGATTCGTAATCAGGACCTTAATTAACCCCCATATGCGAGTTTTCATCGACTTTGGTGAAAGAAGTGGTGGGCGCCAAAATGGCGTAATGGCGCCAAATCAGCGCTCGAAACGGATATGATATTTGTGATCAGGACATCGAATTACACCAGTAGGCGACGTTTCACGAAAAAAATTTTTTCGAGTTTTTGGTATAGGAGTAGTTCAATAGTGCCCAGAGTTCCACTTGGAAATAGAGTAGGTGTTGCTGTTTACTTTCCTCTTGCAAAATCACCTTGCTTCGTCCACAAATAACTATGATCAGATTGGCAAAAATAGGTGAACATCATTGAATTCAGAATATCTGGCGAACTTGTTGCGTACGGACGTGCATTTTTCCTAGACTTAATACTGCTATAAAAGTGGTCGTAATTGAATGACGGCATTCCCAGCATCCAGCTGACGACTCACTCGCCGCGCGCGACGCCGCGCCACGTCGCGACGCACCGCCGCTGTGGTGGATCGAAATGCTGCGGCCATGCATCCCAGCTTGTTACCGGCATTGAGACTTTATTCTTCTCGTTTAGACTTTATGTTGTGATTGGATTCAGGTGAGAATAAAGTTTTTGTTGGCTTTGCAGGGTAATCTGATTGGTCCCGAACTATTATGTTTGGTGATTTGTGATGAACCTCGCCCTGCAGCAAACAGGACTGATGTTTCTGAGAAGCGCTATTGAGAGGATCCTCTCCGATCGCGACATCAGAAAAAAGGAAAATTTACAGCTGAAGAAAGCCTGCGAAAATGTTCTCGGTAAGCTAAAGAAACAGTATTACTTTTTCTTTCTACCTTCAAACTCGTGTAGAAAGGTTATGACTTCATAATTCACATATTGGGAAATGTTTTCAGAGGAACTGAAAGCTGAGGGCGCTTATGCTCCCGGGGAAGATAATAATGGTGTTGTTCTGCCGGATAAGGAACGAATAGTGGAAGCCGATCGGTATTTTTTGCCATTCGAATTAGCGTGTAAGTCGAGAAGCCCGAAAATCGTCATCACATCTCTTGATTGTCTTCAAGTAAGTTGATTCCTGATAAATGCCTCCTTTTTTGAAACCGTCGCTCACGCTGTAGCCCGCTTGTGCTGAACCGAACTGCGTAGAATCTCTCCACGTAAAAACTGGTTCGTTCCTCAGGATCCATTTGGAAACCGGTTTTTAAACTTTTCGTACACAGTGCTATTCGGTAACGTGTATTGTGGTTGATTACAACGAGAAGTGAAGAAAAGTTGCTGGAGCCCCGCGGCTGAGTTGACGAAAAGTCACTATAGATTTACGTTTTGCTTTTGTGTCGCGTCGCTAGCGAACATTTCGCGGTTCAATTCTTCAAGCATGATTCACATAACCCCTGCCATCTCAGAAGGGGAAGGGCGCAATTGTGGTAAATGATCAATCTTCCATACCTCTATAGGGACCTTTACCCGCATACTAACGAGAGCTAACGCGAGTTGAGTATGTGGCGCATACTGGGGCGTGTCACCCTCTTTTGTCCTTTACCCTTGAAACACGGTTGGCATCGGCGATATCAGTCTGATCAAAACATTCCGTATGGAATAGGAATGCACTCAGTCCCGAAAGCTTCCGTCCATTCTTCTGAAAATCTGCGAACGAGCGTCTTTCTTGTGTGCGAAAGGATTTGAATTGACTTTGCTAGGCTAACTGTTGCGCTTCCCGCTACCCTGTGTTTAATCTTGCTCAACTTACAGAAGTTAATAGCCTATGGCCACCTTACGGGGCGTGGAGCAGACTCGTCCAATCCTGAACGCAAGCTCATTGATCGTATTGTGGAAGCTATCTGCTCGTCGTTCATTGGCCAAGGCACTGACGAAGCTGTTTTATTGCAAATTATTAAGGTCTGATCTTGCTGTTTTGCCCGAATACGGTTAATTGCATAGTGAAAATCATTAATTTGGAAGTGTGCGTGACCTAACAGTGCGTATAGGATATTTCAGGCAATTTTGGCAGTGATTTTGACAAATAATTGCGAAGTCCACGAGGGTTCATTACTCCTTGCTGTTCGGACATGCTTTACTATTTTTCTTGCTACCAAGAGTCCGATCAATCAATCAACAGCGAAAGGAACTCTCACTCAGGTAGATCACCTCACTTCCAGTTTGGAATTGTGCGTATTATGCATGATTGCTGTGGATTCAACAAAAAAGGGTTTTTGCATCAGGTAATCAATGCTGTATTCACCAATATGGAGCGCGTTGGCAATGCCAAGGATGATACGGTTATCGTCAGTGAGGTCGTCGAATTTCTTGTTACCTCAGCGACAACGCTTGCCCTCGAATCAGTATGTGCCTTTTCTAACAAACATTTCTTCAGTTCTTCAGCAATGAACAATTACTTTCCTTGAATTTTGCTCTTGTTTTTGTTCAGGTCTATATAGATCAGAATTTTTCTAGAGTGATGATGGAGAGACTCGTAGTATTCGTGGTGCTGGTGCTTCTACTATCTGGGGTGATACAGAAGCAAATCCTCCTGAAGATCACATCAGTTTCCCCAATGTCGAACAGAAGGACGCGTTCCTGGTTTTTCGCGCCTTATGTGTGCTAGCACAAAAGGAAGAGGGCGACGTTAATGATCCACGGTACGAGACGCTTCACATCGTTTCCATTTTCATAGAGCATCGTTGAAGTTCGGTACCGAAAGAGGTTTCTAAGAAGGCACATTTCTCAGGAACACCCATCTGAACTCGAAGATGCTTGCCTTAGAAATGCTGTTATTAGTCCTGCAAAATTCTTCAACAGTATTGCAAAATGCTCAACCGTTTATCCTGTTGATCAAAAAGTCGCTATGTGTTGCCCTTTCTCGGAACGCTGTTTCGTCAAACGTAAAGGTGTGCATTGTTCTGGCTTCCTCGTCCCTTACATGTATCAACTTCATCGCTTTCATCCAGGTTTTCGAGAAGTCTCTTGCTATTTTCGTACAATTACTGGACAAGTTTAAGATTCATCTGAAATTACAAATAGAGGTGAGTTACCTGAAGATTTCGCCGTTACGATCTGACAGTATCCCCAAAGTTGCTTGTAAAGTATTCTGCTGAAAGTCTAATATTAACTGAAAACAAATTAGGACGAGAAGAAAAGCGCTTTTGTAGTATGATGGTCCGAGTTTTGGTTCTCTTCGACCCATTTCATCCACAAAAGAGTGGAGCAAAGTTTTCTCATACAATCGTAATCAGGTGTTCTTCAAAGAGATTATCATATCAATGCTCGAGTCGTCGTCGTGCTCCTTCGAACACAAATGGATTGTTCTTCACACCATTGGTAGGCACTGTACTGTGTAGTTTTTTTCGGCAAAAATATCGGAACATTCTTGGAGTTCAGGCAAAATCCTTGCAAATCCTCAATCAGTGGTGGACTTGTATGTGAACTACGACTGTGATTTAACCGCACACAATGTGTTCGAAAATCTAGTCGATGTGGTCTCCAAAACTGCCAGGACCTCTATCAACGAAAATTCTCCGATAATCCAGAAAGAGCGGTGAGTGTTTGTTTTTTGAGGGGTACCTTTTTAGTCAGATGTCCGTTAGATGCATTCGTATAATGTTCGCATTTTAAGGGAACGTGCAATGCGATTGCTCGGACTGAGCTGTTTGACGGACCTTCTGCAATGCCTCGTAGATTGGTTTGATGTGTGTGAGACAACTAAGAACAATCTTTTACGAGAACGTGCAGGTAATTGGCTCATGCTGAAGGAACTTTCCGTCATAGGTAGCGCTCAGACTTTGCGACAACAGCGCTTCGCTCGCGTGTTCCACGCGATCGATCAGTCAAAAGGTTGCGCATCGATTGTGCCGAACGCGCGACCGAAGCGGTGCCGTTTGCGAATTCTAAGCGCAGCCTTACGTTCGTAAAAGCTGACGCTTTTCCTAAAGCGCAACAGTGGTTTCGTTTGCTTCTGTTTGCCGTAAAACATTGTATTAGGTTGTTCGAAAAGTCCTGCGACACTTTGTTTGAACTATTCTAGAAAAAGACCAAAAATCATTTTGAATGTTTTTATCTCTGATTAATGGAGACTGTCTCCAGGGGTTTGTGCACATGGGTATATCACGACTTTGTGGAAGATTTCAAAGCTTAAACGTCCCTCAGAATCGAGGTACTTTTCGACCTATCCTATGTGATGAGTTCCTGTAGGGCAACTCCGCCATAGTCGAGGAAGCTAACACTTACGTTGTCTTGAGGAAGGATATCGCTTGCCATAGCAGAGAGTTCCTTTTGCATCAGCGCTTCCAGGCTGGACTTATTCAACGCGGAAGTAAGCAATGTACAGGTCGGCCACCAGCACAGAATGACGGCCCTTTACTCAAGCTTCTTGAGACGCAGCCGAACGTAAACTACCAGTAAGTTGGCAACCTCTCTAGGCTCCACCTAACTGACAACTGCCATGCTTCTCCGCGATCTCGGTTAACGGAAAAAATTTTTGTGAAGGATGCCTCATGAGTTGGACCCGTCTGACAAGTCATACCGAATGACCGTGACTGAGTTTTTTTTCTTTGTACACACTGAAGGAACATTTGTGAGATCTTGTGGTTGGTAGAGAGTGGTGGGGTCCTTGCGTACATCTTGCACATGTTCCTCGCAGGATCTGTCAAACAGAAAAGTAGATTGCACAGCCAAAAGCAGATGTGCATGGGATAAAGATTTCAGTAGGTTATTTATGGGGCTCAAAGCGGTATCTCTGGATACTAGCATAACGGTAAGGACTACAGTTCACTCTAACCAACCTCACAACATGGATGTCGTCACGCTTGAATTATTCAAAAATACTCAATTTTTCTCTACCGCTCGGCAATGCGAAGACGGCATGTTAGGATCAGGCCACACCAAAAGATCGTGGATCTTGATCTGAGAATGCGACCATACCCAGCTTATTCATCAAAGTTAGCAGTCTCTAATTACCACCTCCTTTGATCCCTACCTCTCTCTTAGAAAGCAAAAATTCCGAAAATCGACGTCTCCTCGAAAATGAGGTCCACCGCTTCTTTTTATCATAGTTGCCGTAGTTCTGTGAGAATGGAAATGATAAGCTGTGCAAAAAGAAGGGCACTAGTCCTAGTCCTTAGTGGTGGTTACCTTTTAGATTGGAGATGTCTTTTAGCGACTGAAAATTTAGTCCGAAAAATTGGTCAAAGATGTCGCAGGACTTTTCGAACAACCTAATAAATATAATAAGTGCATGGGTTCACTGAACATTGCAGAAGCAGAAAGTGAGGATACTGATGCGTGAGCTGCCTGCGTCTCCTACCGTGCACAGATTTGTCCACCTCAACAGAAGAAGGAATTGATGGAACATGGAAATCATGCTGTGTGTTCATCAATTGTTTATTTTCGATGTGTCATTACAGCTGTAGCCGAGGCTGATTTTATTCTTGGAATTCACATGTTTAGGTTTTCCGGAAACCAAAGCAGGGACTTTCGTTCTTACAAGAGCATGGTTTCGTTGGCACCGAACCGAATGAGATTGCAGATTTCCTGTTGAAGGAGGATCGTCTGGACAAAACTGTAGTTGGAGACTTCTTAGGAGACCCGGATGAGTGAGTGATCTCTATCTTGTTCTTACCATTATGGTTCATTGAGTCCTTATCCAGTTTCACATGCTTCTGGTATTTGAGACTCTGGCCACGGATCTCAACTCCATCCATGTGATAAAATTGAGCTATCCCTGAGCCTCATGTGTCATTACGATTTTTTCGGAATTGCCAATGAGAACTCGTTCACAAACGCTTTTATTGGTGAGCTTTCGCTGTGTTAACAGCTTCCTCAGACCTTAATATAAATCAAGTTACACAAAGCGTATTAAGCAGTAAAGTTGTGGAAGTACAAACCAGGTTGACCTGCCCGTTAACGGTGATTTAGTTAAATTCTGTAATACAATGTATAAAACAATTTGAAGGGGACACTGTTAACAGTCCACAAAGGGATGTACGGCTTACCCAGTGCAACTGCCAAGCAACTAAAAGTTACTAGAAATGCGACGCGCGTGACATTTGCCAGTACTTCGTTATCGCTCCCGCTACCCTATTAGCCTCATTGCTTCCATGAGCTCGTCCCTGTTGTTGATCTCGGGGGATAACCGCTTGATAGCGATTGCTTCGAGCAATTTTCTTTCCAATGGGGCTTCTTTCGTGCGGTGTATCACAGAAACTCTTAGAGCTGGAGCTGCTTCATTCTGGTGATGTAGAACACGGTGCCGTGAGAAACCGCTCTTTGGATAAGAAGCGGGATTGCGTAAAGCTCGCACGTGTTCATCCATCCGCTTGTGTAGTGGTCTCATGGTCTCACCCACGTATCGTTGACCGCATCCTTTGCATGTGACCAGGTAAACTGTTCCTCTTAGCTGACAGATTTTACTTTCTGTACAGTAGGTGCAATTCGCTCTGCCACACTTGTCTTCGTAAATCCTTGATGATGTCAGCAAGCTCCTGAGGTCAGCAGGTGGTCGGAAAATCAGCTTGACTGGAAGACGCGACGATTTGATGACGTGGTTTCATTTTCCTTGCAATTCTTTCGTTGACATAGGGTAATACTAGTGGTATCCCTGCAGTAGTAGTTCTACCGCCGATGCGATGAACACGATGCTTCAAAATTTGAACTCGTATGATCCCAACATACGTTTCACGGTGGGACATCCTGACGAATACGACTTCCTTCCGTTCCTCAATACGAAGGTCCGGATCAGCTATGGCATCAAGGAACTTGAATGGTATAGGAAACCGATGTCAAGAAACATCCTCCTGCACTCTCGAAGTGCACACCCGTAATACATGAAGGCTAACGTGATAAGGAACCCCATCACAACGAAGACGAGAACCTGCACGAGAGAATCAGCAGAAGTGGACCGGAAAATAGCAACGATATTGGAAGAGAATGGTTATACGACGTGTCAACCGAGAACGTGGAGACCTTTCTTTGCTACTGCAGGGATACCACTAGTATTACCCTATGTCAGCGAAAGAATTGCAAGCAAAGTAAACCACGTCATCAAATCGTCGCGTCTTCCAGTCAAGCTGATTTTCCGACCACCTGCTGACTTCAGGAGCTTGCTGACATCATCAAGGATTTACGAAGACAAGTGTGGCCGAGCGAATTGCACCTACTGTACAGAAGGTAAAATCTGTCAGCTAAGAGGAACAATTTACCTGGTCACATGCGAAGGATGCTGTCAACAATACGTGGGTGAGACCATGAGATCACTACACAAGCGGATGGATGAACACGTGCGAGCTTTACGCAATCCCGCTTCTTATCCGAAGAGCGGTTTCTGGCGGCACCGTGTTCTACATCACCAGAATGAAGCAGCTCCCGCTCTAAGAGTTTTTGTGATACACCGCACGAAGGAAGCCCCATTGGAAAGAAAATTGCTCGAAGCAATCGCTATCAAGCGGTTATCCCCCGAGATCAACAACAGGGACGAGCTCATGGAAGCAATGAGGCTAATAGGGTAGCGGGAGCGATAACGAAGTACTGGCAAATGTCACGCGCGTCGCATTTCTAGTAACTTTTAGTTGCGTTGGCAGTTGCACTGGGGTAAGCCGTACATCCCTTGTAGTTGGACTGTTAACAGTTGCACCTTCACCATTGTTTTATACATTGTATTACAGAATTTAACTAAATCACCGTTAACGGGCAGGTCAACCTGGTTTGTACTTCCACCAACTTACTGTTCTTAGGAATTGTAATGCTTTGTATACTTGATTTTATTTATATTAAGGTCTGAGGAAGCTGTTAACACAGCGGAAGCTCACCAATAAAAGCGTTTGTGAACGAGTTCTCATTGGCAATTCCGAAGAAAATCCATCCATGTGTGCAATTGTCCCATCACCTGTGTCACCTGTGCTCCCGTTCATCATCGATTTCCTCAAGTGGGCACCAGTAACGTCTTCATTCGTCCCTGCAACGTGCAAGATTTGCCCAGTGGACTCTCTCTGCTCGAGGGACACGATGAACTTCATACCATTCGTTCAGAGCTCTCTCGAAGAAGTCGACCATCGCGTAGGTGGTCGTCAGGTGTTCGCTTGACATTCCGTGGAGTCCAGTCGGTAATCGCTCTGGTCCAGCGATCTTCAAAATGCATGACGGGATCTCATCCTATCCTGATCTGAGAAACCTTGACAAATGCGGCGGCGTCTCTGATCTTCGATCGCCGGCGGAGTGCGGAGCTTCGGATTCTCTCTCTCAATTGCGTGTAGCGGGAAACCCAGAGCATCGCCCTTTCGATGGCGCGTTGAATAACGCCAACTGCATGCTCATCCTGCTTTCGTCCAAGTCTCTGAGGCATAAGTCAAAGCAGGAAGGACTGCGGAATCGAAGAGGTGGGCACGGAGCCTGGTGTTCTTCGTCTTCTTCCCTACTCCCTCGATGTTCTTGAATGTTCCCCAAGACGCTCGCTTCCTCCTGCTCAGCTCTGGTGCTAAGTCGTTCATCATATTGATTTCGCGACCCAGGTACACACAGTTAGAGCATTCAGAGATGCTCGTTCCGTTGAGCGTGAATGGGGCTTCAGAACCTCATGAACTATGCTCCTCATTTATCGATAGCCGGGCTTCACTTGTTGTCTCAGTTTGCATAGCTCGCGTCCATCGCAGCGTGTACTTGCGTGTGCCTTAGCTACTTTAGGGCATTTGAGTGTTTGCTCCCTTACGGCTGGGTTAATAGGCTCCTAAACTAGCAATGTTCTCTTTTATGTTTCTTTTCAACTTTTGCTATATGTCAGTTGAGATGTTCTTTTTTTCACGATGTTTTTTCTGTTGACTGTTCGTCATACAATAAACAACATCGTCTTCGTAAGGTTCAGCCGTAGACCGATTTTTCCACGCGCGCACTCGAAATCAGTCAACACTCGTCCCGCTTGCTCGAGGTTTAGCGTTATCAAAACGATGTCGTCAGCAATGCGGAGATGGTGTATTTGCCAGCCGTCGATCTTCACTCCCATGTCTTCCCATTCCAGATGACGCATGACGTTCTCGAGAGAGGCGCTGAATAGCTTCGGCGAGATGGTGTCGCCCTGTCGGCCCCTCTCTTCACGTCTATGATGATCCCCTGTAGAATGGTGAAATCATGGTCGTGAAGTAGCTGTAAAGCTCACGAAGAATCCCGATGTACTGTATAGAAATACCCCAGTTACCGTCGGTAACCGCTTCTCTCTCAACGGAGTCGAAGACTTTCTTCAAGTCGATGAAAGTGAAAAATAACGGCATCTTGTTTTCTCGCGATACTTCGATGTGCTTCGTTGCCATGTGGATAAGATCGAACTGATCGACTCGTGCTGAATCCTCTTCGAAACCCTTCTTGCTCGCATGGCTGTCCTTCGTTTAGTGTTCTGCCAGTCTTGTTCAGGATGACTCATGTGAAGATTTTGTAGACTACAGACAGCAGGCAGATTGGGCGATAATTGCCACTGTCGTACAGGTCTCCCTTCTTGTTTAGCAACGCAGTCCTACTGGTTTTCCACGAGGTGGGTAGCTTACATTCCGACAGGTAGCGCGTGAAGAATCGAGCCAGAGCTCTGACAATAACTGGCGGAAGATTCTTCAGATGTTCTGGTGGGTCTGATCCTGTCGGCACCGGGTGCTGTACGATTGTTCACCGACGAGATAGTGTCCTACTTCGGAAGGGAGAGTTGCAGGAATGACGTATCCATCCTGCTCCAAGCGGTATGGTGGCTGACGTGGCTGTCAAAGCGATCGGGAGAGCAGAAGTCGTGAATGACGTTCTCCATTGCCCTTTTGGATGGGTGGTTGTTCCGCCCGGACGTCGAAGGCCAGTCATCCTGGTCTTGCAGTTGGGAAAACGCGGCGATTTAAATTTTCGTTGGCCCTGTGATTCTTGCAGCCTCGCTCGACCAATCCCAGCCGCCGCCGTTCTGTCGGTGATTACCTCAGGTTCAGGGGAATGAAGTCCATACTTATCTCTCTTTTCAGCGCGAAGAAATTTGACCACGCGTAGCTCGCCAGCCTCTGACGGAACCCTTGGCATTAGTGCGTTTGGAACAGTCCAAACCGTTCACCTCCACGCCACGTTGAGGCTGCGGATAGGATTTGCGGAGGGCAGTTGTCATATGTGCTGTTCTTTATCGTGCTTATCAGTATTTGCAGTAGAAAAGCGGTTATCCAACTAGAGTTGCTTTCGACACTCCTTACCAGATATTCAGATCCGAAACGATTCGCTTGAACTGAGCCCATAGTTGCTCCGTAAAAACCTATATTCGTCCTTGCTTTCGATCGAATGGTTGCGAGAGCTCTTTGCTTCCATCGCTATACTTTTCCATACTGTATACATCGCTGTCCGCTACATGAAAAGAAGAAAAACGTCAACCTATTTTTTTTCAGGTTCAACAAACAAGTCATGTATGCGTACGTGGATGACATGGACTTCTCATCTCGAGACTTCGTTTCTGCTCTTCGTTTATTTCTTGAAAAATTTCGATTGCCAGGCGAAGCCCAAAAGATTGATCGACTCATGGAAAAATTTGCTTCCCGGTATTGTGAGTGCAATCCGAGGTGAGGCTAGGCACTGCTTCGACGTTATCAAAAACATCATTACCACCGATGAATACCTCTAACTATAAATCGGGATTTTCGCTTTCTTGATTATGGAAGAATACCAGAGTTCGAAAATACAGCTATGGTACTTGATTATGATACTGAAACCACTTTTTTATTCTGGATAAGAAGGATAGAGTCTTTGCCGTTGATCAATTCCTTTGTGGGATGCGGCACACATTCTACTTCCATTCAGAATGATAATGCCTTATTGAATGCGATGTGGCCTATACAGTGGCTTGCAGGGGCAAGTCAGTGTACAAGTCAGTGTTTTTATCGTCCCAGACGAATTTGGTACCATTTTATCATCATTTAGGATAGAAGATTTGGTTAGCCTGGGCTCTGAACCCAGGACCGCGCGAGTGGTAAGCGCACCACTCGTCACTACACCTCCTCTTGCCCATTTTTATTCTGAAGGTACCAAGATAGCATTAGAGATATTGCCTTACTTCCTAAGGTGCCAACCACATTTCGCCAGACATTCTCAAAGGATTTTGTTGTTTTTATTTTTTTGATACACTCATAGGTGCGCTGACAATTCCATGGTATCATTACATATGCTCCGCACCACACACACGAACAAATGCAATGCTGATTCACAGTAGAGAAAGTAGTTGTTTGGGAAGAGAAAGGACACTGCGCTCGTGGCGTACTAATCTATTCTTACTTGGCATCCTGGAATGTTTTTCTAAGAGCAGGAGCAACCACTCCAACTTTGCCCTCCTGCTCATGACAATATGATGCTATCCTAGACGGGCGGGCTGTTAGCGCCAGCTCGAAGAAGCTGTACACCTTTTTCATGGTTGAGTCGGCGTACAGGACGTTGTAGACTGTCGTTCTGATAGTAAGGGACATCCCCCCATTCAGCTTTCCCGGCGACGTCCTTCTGACTATTGATTTTTTTCAAGGGCCGACCTTGCGTGCGAATCAAGTTAAAAACCGAAAAAAAACTCAAACCAAATGAAATGAGTGTTCTTCCACTTCAAGTGGTTTTTGCAACGCATTGCGAGCTAATGGTGTAATTCATAAGGCGTGCAAGTAATGACATTCTAAAGATGTTATTTGTATGAAAACACTGCTGTGTTTTTCGAATATAGCAAACGTGTCATTCTGCTTCTGTTCTGGGGCACTAGTCTGAGTCCCTTTCCGAGAATTTGTGGTTGCTAAATATCACTTAAGAACGCTAGACAGTGTTACTGTTTGAAAAACGACTTGAGACATGTTCAGGCATTTCAGGGAGACGATATTTCTAAAACGTTTAGCCATCGGATCATTTCGAATAACAGTTTCATTCGCCCACTGAAACTATGAAAAGTTAGTTTTTCTTTTCAGCCTTGGGTTGTTTGCATCTGCTGACACGGCTTACGTTCTTGCATATTCGATAATCATGCTTACCACCGACCTGCATAGTGCACAAGTAAGTTCATTTTGTTCGCTCTATTCAGGTGTCATCTCTAGTTGCGGGAGTGCCGTTTGATATTCATCGCTTTTTTTAATGGTGTCTGTAGAGGTTAGCGTCTCTCTGCTGGGTTCTTCTCATACTATTGCTTGTTTGCCGTGTTTATTTGCAGACTCTAGAGCCTTACAGTAAAAAATACAGAAACCGGTGATGGGCAAATCAAACCAGAACTACGATATCACTACAGAAATAAGCACTATATGGAGGAAAAAATGAATCCACAAAAAGGCCTAGGTCGCAAATCAGCCGGTTGTGATCAACTCTTTCTTTTTAATGCTCCCGGAGTCTTCTTTCCAACTGATATACGCATCACTATGTATCTGAATTTGAGTGAGTTGTGGATACAGCAAATGCAAGCTGTATTAATGTTCAACTCAGTATCTCAATGTTTGAGATATGCCTCGGCAGGTCCTCTCATTGTGTGATGAAATGAGAACTTCTCTCCTAATTGCTGGAGTTGGCCTTTGCTGCTTTGCAATTTGTGTAACTGCCCCCTCTCTGTACTCAATGCACCGTCCTATCCAAACTGCTACCCTTGTATAATACATTGGAATTCCCCTGATTTTCTCCACGCGGCGATTCCTCCTATCGATCTCTAATGGCCTTTTTACCAGGAACTATGCTGTGTACAAAATATATACCACTTTTGCTTAAGGTGAAGAGCAAGATGACGAAGGAGCAGTATGTGAATATGAACCGGGGAATCAATAATGGCGCAGACTTGCCGCCTGACGTCTTGTGTGCGATATACGACGATATTTCGGCGAATGAAATCAAGATGAAAGCGGGAGCAAGCAAACTTCTCAAATGTATGTGACCATAGAGAATGTCCCTCCATTTTCTGCTTGAGGCGATCGCAGTTGGGCAGTCGAAAACTAAGATGTTTTTCAGCAAGGAAGGCCGGTGCTGGAGAGAATGATAAACAGCGTCGTGCTCTTGCCAATTTAGAGTTAGCTGCAATGTCCGAAACAGCTCGAGCACTCATGGAAAGTGCAAGTAATGCGGCCGCAGACTTCACTTCAGCACAACACCAACATCATGTGCGACCCATGTTCAAGGTAAGGAAATTGAATCATACAGAAATGCCTCCTCTTCATCCATGGCTACATTTGTAGATTTGTTGGACACCATGCCTAGCAGCCTTTAGTGTGGGTTTACAAATGTCTGATGACGTAGAAGAATGGTATCTTTGTATTCGTGGTTTTCGCTTGGGAGTGCGTGCTGCTTGTGTACTTCGGGCCAAATTGGAACGCAACGCTTTCATCCAGGTGGCCAATTATTTTCTTCTTTCAAGCCAAACAGCCTTCTGCGTTATTACGCGAACTGTTTTAATGTCGAGGGTGCTCCAGCATTTGTCACAAAATCCAGCTATTCGCAATTAAGGCGCTAGCCAGGTTCACGCTCCTTACTGCTAAGAATGCTCTTGGAGAAATGAAGGAGAAGAATATTGAAGCAATCAAACTGCTCCTGGCCATTGGTGCGTTGCAGTTGAAACTATTTGCATTATGTTTCTCCTTTTTTAATAGATTTGTGGTGATTGATTTGTTAGCATCGTTTCTCTACAGAGGAGATGACACATGTTTTTTTAGGTGACGAAGATGGTGATTACCTTGAAGAGAACTGGGTCGATGTAATCAGATGTATCAGCCAGCTTGAGCTTGCCCAGCTTATTGGGACAGGATTGGGTGCTAGTGCTAAGGAGGATAAAGAGAGCAGCCGTCAATGTGAGTCCAAACAGTTTATTTTGTTTCTGCAGCGTTCCACGACTGAATGTTTTCCATCGCGCTTCCTCGGAGAAAAATGTAGTCATATACTCGTTTTCTTAGAAACTTTGTCATCTGAGTCCTGGCAACTGACCTCCCGTGCGCTTTCCATCGAACATCTTAGGCGCCAACGCCTCAACATAGCAGCCGTTTGACTTGTTACATTTCTCACATTACAGATGTAATGAAGAGTACAGGTGCCATTGATGAACGCACCTTGGCTACTCTTCAAGGTGCACTTGGCGAAACCAGCTCCCAAGCCGTCGTTGTTGCTGTTGATAGGTAAGCCATGCATTTGAGTTCTAAGTGAGGTGTCACTTCTAATAAGCGTCAATGACCTCTTGTTCACTCAGTAGTTTCTACTTCTCATCGGCATTCAGGATTTTCCAAGGCTCCTGTCGACTTTCTGCTGACGCTATAGTCTCTTTTGTTCGTGCTCTCTGTACAGTCTCCAAAGAAGAGCTCAACCAGCCTGCTGCTCCACGAATGTTCCTACTTGGAAAACTCGTTGAAGTAGGTCCTCGTAATAGTGATTTTATGAAAAAAAAATAAGTTTGAATGTGTAATAACATTGTGACACTCCAAAAATTTATTCCAAAAAAGCTCAAAAGACTCCAGGAGTCTCAAAAGTTTTTCAAAATATCTTGCGATAGGTGCGTAGCACCTCCATCAGGCCCAGTTATCCCGGCAAAAATCAAATTGTCAAGCCCAGTTATACCGGCAAAAGCTGTTCAGAATGTTCATAATCCACGGAGCCTGAGTCCCTTGGTTTTGCAAAAGTGCATATTAAGGTAGCCTTTTACAACATGGGTCGTATCCGTCTGGAATGGCGACGGATATGGGAAGTGGTTGGTGAACACTTCAACATGGCAGGTGGGTGATTACCGCTGTCACCTAAGGTTGTCGTAAAGTTCGGTGTTCAAGGCTGTAACGCCAGCGAAATTGTTGCTCACTATTCTGTGGACGCGTTGAGGCAGTTAGCCATCAAGTTTCTTGAACGAGGAGAACTGCCAAACTTCCGTTTCCAGAAGGATTTCCTGAGACCTTTTGAGGTTCCTCTCATTTTTGCTCCCTCATTGGAATCCCATGGAAAGTCTCGGTGTTCAGGTTATTATGGCGAAAAACCGTTCGGCACAAACGCGAGAACTTGTGGTTGCATGTTGTTCAAACCTCGTTGAGGCTCATGCTCCTCGAATAAAGTCGGGATGGCAAAATTTGTTCTCAGTTTGGACCTTGGCAGCTGGTTCGTTCAATTTCCATATTTACTGTTGATCTGCTATTAAGGTATAGCCGCGATCTGCCTGTCTCTCCTTTGCCGAACATAGCGTGACGTGATTTCCGAATTACAGTGAAACGTTCCTTTTTCATAAAAACTCTCTTTTTCTTGATCACTGCCTGGTGCGGGATGCAAGTAAAATCGGTCTGAGAAGAGTTGGCATAGTCCTACACAGTCGAAAAGTAGGCTGCTCTGTAACCTACTTTTACTGGATATTTTCCGCTATTTTTGTTTCTATTTTTTCCACCGTTATAAGTTCTGTTTCGCTCGATTTTCGTGAAATGTATTCAAGGCGCAATAACAACAACAAAGGGTACCCGTCATAAGATTCGAATCCATGATTGCTAGAATTCGGTTGAAGCTCGTAGACTCATTGAGATTTCGTAAGGTTTTTTTCAGGCGATCTCCAGAAAGACATAGTTGAAGCAGCATTCTTGGCGAGCTCTAGAGTAGTTATTTACCAGTTCAAGGAAGACTTTGCCTCAGTTCTTGATGCGTTTCAAGTGAGTTGAGTTCTGCTTACATCTATTCTACCAAATAATAGTGTGTACACGTGATATCAGCGCTGGGGATAAGCTATTGCACGCAGTTAGTCCTTTACTTCAGTTTTGCTTGAACTGCTGCGCTGCGAGCGCACTTTAATCCAAATAGTTGTTCTGGGATATAACTTATTGTGAGATACTTTTCACTCTTATGTCCACCTTTCCCAGGAAGCACTGAAATGTTTGGCAGAGTTTGCATGCAATACAAACCATCCCGACATGAATATGGAGGCGATACGTCTAATCCGATCTTGCGCTGAGTTGGTTTTGCTCAACCTTTCGTTTTTATAGTTTTCGTTCTGCTTATTCAGTTGTTTTCTCCAGGTACGTTTCTATAAATCAAGAGCGAATCATTGATGCCCCTTGGGAGGAGTCGTGGAGTGTGTCTGGCGATCAGCGAATATGGCTTCGCGGCTGGTTTCCGATCTTCTTTGAACTGAGGTCACTTCATTTTAAATACTTTAAAGCGCTGATGGAAACGTTAACCTAGATTTTCATTGTTATGGCATTGCTATCTATGTACTTCCACTGCGCTTGCCTTTCTTTCACTATTTTCCGAAACAGTTTTGCTTTTTTTCGGGTTTTCTAATACACTCGCGCACAATTTTGTGTTTAACGCAGCGAAAACTGTAAATATCACTATTTGGCATCGATGTGCTTTTAGCTGTATCATAAACCGGTGCAAACTGGACGTGCGCACGCGAAGTCTGACCGTAATGTTCGAGATAATAAAGAACCATGGCAGTGAATTCCGGGCGGAGTGGTGGCGTGATCTGTTCAACATCGTCTTTCGGATATTTGACCACGCAAAACTGGACGAGCATCGAGGAGACGTAAGAATTCAATGTTCAAAGAAGTATCAGAAAGAGAAGAAAAAAAGTCTGTTCAGAAAAAGGAGTGGATGATGACGACATGCAATCATGCTATGTACGCCATTGTTGACGTCTTCACGCAGTACTTTCCGCAGCTCTGTGAATTGGTACTGCCGGCGATCTACGAGCAGTTCGCCGTTTGTATTCAACAAAGTAAGTCTATTAATAAATATATACTTTATCACTCGTATTAGCGGTTTCTTTGAAGTCGATATGGTACTAGTGTAATGTCGATATGCTATTAGTAGTATTAATTAGAAACAAACAAAACAGAATGCTGGAAAAAGATGGCACTCAGCAGAGATGGTCCGCGTTGCCTGTTATCACCAGACAACCTGTCAACCCTCAGGCTCCCCAGTGAAGTAGGATTGAGGAAGCAAGAACACGGACTACATAGGGGAAGGAGTTGAGAAAAAGGATAAAAAGAGAGAAGTTGTAAGGTAGGTGCACATGCAAAAAGCAATAAAAATGAGGTAAAAGAAAGGGGACAGAAAATGAAAGAAAGTTATTCCGCGAATTTTATAAGAAATATGTGTACAAGGAGAGAGATTCGATTGTACTCAATAGGCTAAATCAGCAGAGGGAGTAGTGGGTGTATGACACAGCTGAAACGAACAGAGGGTAAAAAGTTGAAATAGTAAAAAGAGAGTTAATGCTGAACATCGCTGCTAGTGGGAATACCTTTAACCAGTCTTCTTATCTTTCTCTAGCTATTTGTGACTGAGTATTTATAATTTAGAAAGTTCTTCTTCTTTCGGCGTTTGTCCCGCTCCGTAGCGGGGTGCGCTCGTCTTAATTTGTCACGCACTTCTCCCGAATGAATGCTTGGTCGGGATGGGTGCCGACTAGCTTTGAGTCCGCATGCAACTTGTCTAACCAGCGCTGCTTGGGGCGTCCTTTAGGCCGCTTTCCGGGCACCTCGAACTCAAGACCAGTCTTACGGACGGTGTCACAAATCGCGCGAAGAACGTGACCATACCATCGAAGGCAACCTTCGCGCATTTTTTCGGCCGCAGTAGCTACACCAGTCTCTTACTTATGTCATCATTGCGTATGCGATCCATACGCGTGACACCGGCGGTCCATCGCAAAATTTTCATCTCCAAGACTCTGAGGCGTGCTTCAACTTTCGTAGTCCAGCATTCAGCACCGTATATCGCGACGTCCTAAATATTTTCGATTTGAGGCGATCTGGTATCGTCCTGGCGATCTGGTATCGTCGAAAGCGCCAGTCATAGACCCCTACTTAGACCAAGCTGCACTAACACGCGTACCCACTTCTGAGTCGAGGCTACCGTCTGACGTAGTTGTTGATCCGAGGTATTTGGACGTTGTCGTTCGCGTTGGCACACTGCCGCTGACCCTAAGGGAACCAGACTCATCTGGGTCAGTCGTCATGTACTCGCTTTTCTTGACGTTCAGTCGTGAGTCCGAAGTTTGTCAAGCGCTCAGACCTGGTTTGCACCTGTTGCTTGAGATCACTCTCTTCGTCACAGGCGACCATTACTTCGTCAGCTTACAGATGCGTCCAAGGAGCTGGTTCCGTAGTAGTTGCTCTTAATTTCTGTACCATCTGTATAGAAAACATAGTAACCGTTAGTGGTAATCATAGGTTCGTTCGCATTCTTGAATCAAATGCTAAGAAGTTCTTGCATTTTCATAATGAGGTTATGTACTAAGTTTGTGAACATGTCCGTGAAATCCGCAGAGTATAAGCAAAAACTAGGAAAACGCCGGTCGCCTTGGAGGGGGGCATTTTGAAGTCATAGCGATGATACACAAAGAAATGATAGCATCTCATTTTGCAGGGGCGCAGTACGGCTAGCGGTCGACTAACCATTCGCTGTTAACCAAACAGGGCACATCATTGGTTGGGGGTTTTGGTCGAGTCTGTACGACCCTCCTTTTTTGCGGGTGGGGTACGCCCCCCCCCCTCCTCTGGCCCTCTGTCCCTCCTCACTCATCGAATCGGCCGTCGAGCGGGGTGGAGGGGGGGGGAGGGCATATAGTAGGCATGTAAACAGTAAAATCATGAAAAATCATCAAAGTCAACCACCCTCTACAACCCCAAAACGTAAATACGACCCTCCCCCCCTCCTCCTAACAATGACCAAGTACGACCCCCCCCCCTTTACAACCTCCGTGAAGCGAGAAAAATTAACTATCAAAATAAATTTTTCCCAGCCCAAATACGACCCCCCCCCCCAATTGGGACTTCCCCAACAACGATGTGCCCTGAAACCAAAGCAGATCCGATCAGCTAGAAAGTCCGCGATCGGCTCAAAAACATTGAACTGTTCGTTGGACATTGGTGCTATTCAAGACTGTGATTGTTGAATATGAAAAACTCGCGCAGCGACCGCGAATGTGTCGCTTCCATTTTCTTTTTTTCACGTACTGTGCCCCCCCCCCCACAGAAGCTGAAAAAAAAGATAATAGCATTGGATTTTTTAGAAATTACAATTATAACGCAACGAGCAGGCTTTGCTTGAACTGACAGCCACTGCCGCAGGACACGTCACATCACAATCCAGCAACTGCAAAATTGTACTCTACCTAACTAGCCAAGCCTTCTTCTTTCTTCAGAGAGCACTCGGTAGTTTCGTGAAAGTTTGATTAATTCCATAAAAGAAGCAGTTGCCATCCCCGTTCAGTGCCGTGTTCTATCGCTCCATGCGATGTGGTCACTAAAAATGCATCTACTAATTACGCATCATATCATTTAGCATTGCCTGACATGCTGAAGGTGGTTGACACGAATGCTTCTCGCTCTCTCCCCCACCCTCCCCGTGGAGATTAGCTCCGAAAACAAGTAGTTTCTACCAAGTTTGGAATTATGCTACTGAAAATTATCGACTGTACGACTCTTGGGTGTTGCCGACTATTCCTATGTTCTTTTGCAGAGAACGAGCAACTGGCGCGGTCGACGGTCAACTGCCTTGAGACCTTAATATTATTGAATGGTTCCCGTTTTACGAATGAGATGTGGGAGCGCACTGTTCAACTTCTGCGACGACTCTTTGCTGCCACTCTTCCTAAATCGTGGGTTTATTAAAAAGAATTCTAATTTGTTAAGATTGCAACTCTATCGATTCTATTAATAGTCCTTTCTTGCTCTATTCTCATCGTTTATATATTATCGCGTCGGCTCGCGGGCGCGCCTCCTTTCGTATGTTTGGATAGCCCAACTAATACGTGGCTTTTTTTATTTGTACACATTCAACGCTTCGTAACAAATGGCCTGCCGCTTCACTACTATAATAGCCAGGGAGGTTGGTAAGGAGCGTTGATCAGGTGCACTGGTCAACAAAGAGACGGTCATTGATTAATTATTCCAACGAAGGAAAGAAGCTACGAGAGGCGAAACCGCGCCCGCTCGGCGAAACCAGGCCGTATTACTGTAGAAGGCGCATCATCTGGCATCCCGACTGGTATCAAATGTACCTGTGACGACCGGTTAAACATGGTTGCCCGTCAGCCCAGTAAAAAAATAGAAATCTCGTGCTTGAGGGCACTCTCCGCCAACTGTAGGCGGGTCTTACACCAAAGTTCCGCCTAAATCTCGCCAGATGTTCCTATTCTCCATCGACTTTTTTGCTATCGCTAACCTGTCTCGAGAAACGAGTTTCTGGATATCGTGGAAAGCACCACCCAAGTGCACTCCGCCCATTTTGTGTGCGCATCCCAGTTAATCTCCACCCCCTTGCTAACTAGTCCACTAATTCCCCATCTCCGGCCTTCTCTGGAACAGAAATGTGAGTTTTTGTTTGCCATCCGCTCTTTTGCGGCGCACGTCCCACCCACTGTGAGCGTGGATTAGTTAGCATAGATCGTCTGTGCTCTGTTGCCAGTCCTGACCTGACCTCTCCAAGTGACTCTTCAGACAGAACCGAAATTCCGAACTACCAACAGACGTAGCAATTTATACAGGGGGGCCAAAAAAAGTTACTTTTCTTCATTGACTTTCTTGGCGCTATAAGCTGCACTTTATAAATTCTAATCGGACATTTCTACCACCATATTAAAGAGCATATTAAATGCTATTGAAAAACTCCGCCACAGCCTTTTGGACGAGGGCCATCGAGAGATTCTGGCAGGCGACGTGCCTGAGATCAGCGAGATAGTCGATTTCTCCGTCACCGTAGACCAAACTATTGAACTCCGCCCGAACCGCGTAACTGAGGGGATTCAGGTCAGGTGAACTACTTGGATATACCATCTTCTTTAGGTACTCAGCCCCCTTCCATTCCAATTAGGCGAGAGTTTCTCCAACGCCCTTCGATTCCACGTGGTGGCACCCAATGCTGTAGCAGTACAAAGTTTCCAAGAAGGTAGGGGCGGCGACATGTGGGGAGGATATTCTTACCGAGTTGCTCGATGTAACCGCCAGGGCTCACCTCCAGTACGAGGTCCACGAAGAAAATATTGGTCTTTCCATTCCAGGTACCTCCGGTCGATACCATCAACCCGCTCCTTGACGACTGCGGTGAAGATGATGTCCTAGACCGTGGCGACGTTGTCGGAGCTGCTCGATGTTGGAGGTTTTCCAGATTGAGAGTACTAGTCTCCAGGTAGCTACCCATGGGTGACTCCGCACTAGAAGTTTCGCAGCTGTTTCGAGGTGACATGAATTCCAAAGGTCTTCTCCAGTCAGGCAGCGACTGGGGATGACCGCATATTTTAGTGTACATGAAGGTGATGGGCGAGGGCCAGCTCCTGCTTATCGAGGAACATCGTGGGTATCTTCCGCCCTGGTACTTGTATCCACATCTTCACTCTGGGCTGCAAAAACTTTGCTGATATGTGACTCGGTCGAAGTGACTCTTTTTGCCCCTCCCCCTGTATATGGTAGAAATGAAAATCTTATTGATAAAGTTCTATATCTAGATTGCTGACATGGCAACCAGATAAACACACGGGACTTCACGAAGTGCACGGAACATCAGGAGAAGACATTGATGACAGAGCGCCCAGTATCGATGGCAGACCGAATGGGTTAGTTTAGAGCTCATAGAGTGGATTTAGGAGTACTATATTGAGGTTTTTAACGTTTGCAGCTCCATACATCCCGACGCCGCATTCTCGGAACAAATAGTCTTTTGTGTTGTTCAGTCAGAACTAGTAGACGCTGTGACTTCCACTGTGTTGGGAACTAAAAAAAGCACAGGTCAGAACAAAAAGAAGGCAATTTCACAGGGTCAGAACATTTTCCTTTTTTCTACATTTCAGAGGAAGTTTTACTGAGTGTTCCGTCGGTAAAAAATGATCATTTGAATCGATCGACCTACGATGATACTATAAATAACGGGTTGTTCAGCACAATGGATCCGATATTGTTGTTAAGGTACTGCTGTTCGAGGACAATAAATTTCACTCTGCACTCAGTTATCGTCTATCATTAATTTTTTATCTTCAGTCTCTGCGATGCGTTAGGTGAAAGTCAACGGTTAGCGAAGCAATTCAACGACAACAACGGCCAACGAACGCTGTTGTGGAAAGCAGGTTTACGTGGCTCGAGTAAGCCCAACCTCATCAGGTCAGCATATTTTCCTCCATTCGGGGTTTTCCCTCTGACGCTCATCTGGAAGCCCAAATCATAGTAGAGTTCGATGTTCTGCAAGATTTTCGTTGTTCGCTTTCCGCTATAGGAGACCCCGGAATGAATTGACTTAGCTGGGAGTTTTCCTTTATTTGCTAGCATTCGTCTTTCAATGATTAGATGTGTAACTTTGGTGATTACTTATAGAGCACCAAGGAACCTGGATCAAGCAAAAAAAGTTTCAGTACTTTGATGCGCTCCTTGGTCAATCAGTAATAAGCAATCCGCAGGGTTTTCCTCCATATCTCTTTCGTAAAAACGTAATACTTGTTCACATAGTAATGAAATAAGCACAATGAAGTGAACAAGTTTGATTCATTGAGTTTAAATAAGTTGGATTAAGTTTAACAATGATAAGTTCCACTGAAACTTTAAAAAAAAGCGATTCTCTTCCTATTCCAGTTTTTTTTTCAATATCGTAGATTTTCTAGGCAGGAGACCCACGCTCTGAGGGCAATGCTCGCTATTCTACTAAGGCTTCTCAATGATCCTCGATCTTCCCCAGTGCAGGAACAGGTTGCTAAGGGAGTTCTCTCGTAAGTCATTAGAGAACATAATTTTTCACTGGTCATGCCTATGCTAGCGTTTTCAGCGTTGTGTCGGCGGTGTTACGTGGATATGGAGAGGCGGTGTCTGATGCTCGTCGCACAGCGTACGCACCGGTCGTTTGCGAATTGCTACGGGAATGCCTTCGTCTGCCTAAACATTTGCTTCCGGCTCTAGGCGCTGAGTTTCCACTCCATCTATGCGAACTAGTAGAAACTGCCGAAGGGCAGCCGTTGCGGTCTCTCCTGGCCACGTTGCTCCGTCAGTTTTTGATGACTAAGAACTCAACGAGTTTAGAGGGTGAACCAAAAGCGATTAATGGTGTCTCAGAAATAAGTCTTGAACATGACGACATTTGATTTCTACCCTTCTTGCTTTTCTGCATTCACTGTTCTATTCTACTTACAATTGTTGGCAGGATGCTCTCTTGTGCCGCTCTCCTTTTATGATGTATGTGAAAACGGAGCGCCTATCCACGCCAATTATGCTCTATCTTTTATTCCTTCGTTCCGCATGATTCGTTCCATACAAGCCTGTGTTATTTAATTTCTCTTTTTTATTTACGTGTTCATTTATGCGATAGCAGTCGTTACGCTGAAAGGTAATTTACAGATTCTTGCAATCCTTTTCCTATCCGCCGATCCTGCATAGTGGCTCTAGAGCTATTTATTGAGTTTGGTTTCATTGATTTCATGCTGGGCATGAACGAAAGATCACTTATTGGTGAACTGGTCTTTTGGTCTTCTTCCTCCTCTTCCTCTCAAATGTTCTACTGTAAGTACACTGTGAGTGTAATTTATTATGTGTGTTTCTTTCTCATGTTTCCTTATTTCATTCCTAACCAGTTGTACGCTTCCTGTCAAACTTTTGGTTTCGCGACGTACGCACATTATCACATAACTTTACCGCAGGTGGACACGTGTGATATATTTGTTTTTCATTCATGTGTGATGTCGAGAGTTCGCAAATTTCAATGTATTTTTTATCATTAGCGATGGCAGAATATACAGAGAGACTACTTTTGTAATAAAAGATTGTATCTTCATAGAAGCGTTGAATAAAAGAAAGGTTTGTGCCAGTGGTTTTCATTTTGGTATGTTTTTCTTCTGAAGATGTGATATGTATATGCCCACGATGCTATGCTTTCAGCGAGTAGCTATCCTCTCCCAGCTTTTTGCAGGACGAAGCTGTCTTTACAATGGTTAGTTCTTTCCTCAGTAATAAGAGAGCCTTGACAGTCTCCCTGCTTCAGGCCATCCTTGGATTTCACATAGTCGTCTCTTTGGTGGCTCTCACTGTAATGAGTAAATTAGGATCGAGGCTGTCAATTGTGCAGCTTTATATTGTCAAAGGGTGAGCCATTTTCCAACAACCCGTTGATTAGAATTGGTTTTTTTCTCGGAGATATTAGAAATATTAGCTGTTGCAGATTGTTTCGTTTCATTGCACCTTCGAACGATGAGTTACGCGCACTCATGCCACAGTGCAAGGAAAATCCAAGGACTCGTAGGAAAAAGAGGTGAGCATGAACTGAATTCCACAGGAACATTACTCCTCGTAATTGCATCTCTCTAGAAGTGAAGGTGTTGAAAGAAACTTATTTTTTGCTCTGAAGTGCTCTCCTATTCTGCTACTTATTAATCCTACTCGTAGGAGTTTCGGCTTTTGATCTTGATAGTTTGGTAGTGCCATTCATCTTTCAATGAAGAATTAATTAATCTTTTAATCAAGAGTTAATATTAAGAATTTGTCCATATTAAAATGAGATGCCGTAATGAGGTATTAGCGGCAGGGCACATCATGCGTTGGGGGTTTTGGTGGAGTCCCTGCGATCCACATCCACCCCTCCCCTTAAAAGGGGTTCGGTACCAACTAACCCTTTTCTGCTGTTTCTTGTTTTCTTTGCCTTTTTATTCGCATCGTTTTCCGAGACATACTTGGAAGAAAACCAGTGTTAACAAATTGGCGACAAGGCTCCTTTTCACGTCTGATGCGCGGGACAAAGCAGTTTTCTCTATTTTCGAAGTATAAAAAGGATAAAGGATAAAGTCTTCGCTGTTGATCAATCCCTGCGGGATGCGGCACGCATTCTGCTTCCATTCAGAATCGTAGTGGCTAATTGAATGCGATGTGGCCTATACAATGACTTGCGGTGGCCAGCCGATGTACAAGTCAGTGGCGGGTGTCGACCCGGGACTTGAACGCGGCGCCGCGCGAGTGGTGAGCGCGCCACTTGCCACTACACCACCTCCGCCTCTTATTTTCGAAGTATGCGCATAAATGCTAGGGCGTTTATACGCCAAAAAAATTGAATAATAGTCAGAAATTCATTGCAGAAGCTAGTAAGGCTTCGCTATTCTTGTTTACTTTCAAGATAAACCCTGAAATTTCATGGAATACTCCCGCCTCTTCACGTGGAGCGTGGGAAAAGGTCGCAAAAAGGAATATTTTCGCCGCAAAGGTGGTAAACTGATTCGATTCAGATCTGCTATTGTTGAAAGTTACCTTATCACATTAGCTATCTGCTTGTGGAGCTTCAGTCCTATATATCCAAGAATCATCTTTCTTTTCCTAGGAAATCACTTTCGTTTGTCTCCTCGGTAAAATACTCTCAATGACACAACTGCACGGTTTACAGCTACTGTATATTCTACAATGCCTTCGTGGACAAGATGCAACTGTTGAAAATACGAAACGTCTTCAAATTGGTTTTTACCCATGCGGCTTCCCAGCAGTGGGACGCAATGTAGCCAACGTGTTAAGCCGGGGATTTCTCCTCGCTTAGTCTCCCAGCACTGAACATCCGACTGAGAGAACAGTGTACGAATGAGACTAGAAACACTTTATAGATATAGACAGGACTTGGTTTCAGCGGAACTACGCCCTTTATTCCCAGTACTAGCTCTGATGGAGCACTGTTCTGATAGCTGTGTTCCTTTAGCTTCCATAGAAAGCCATACAGCCCAGACTCGAAACAAATGGAAATGACGAGAATTATAGTGATTAATTGCTATTTTCAACCATGCTCTGTTATTTAACCATAAGCTAGTTAGGATTCCATAACACTTTTGGACACTCTCTTAGGTAGAATTAGTATAGCAGAGAGAATTTGTATGTATGTGGATCTACCCTATGCTCTTCTGATCCAATTCGCACGCGTGAGAAAAGTTCAAGTGGCCTTCGAGCCATATGTTTGTTGAATAAGCGTGCCTCTGTGCTTTAACTGCAATGTGAGTGGAGGGGGGGGGTGTTAGCCTAGACCCCCTTATTTATTTATTTATTTATTTATTTAGGTGAAGCAACATGTTTACACACGTTGGCGACATTGCGTCCCACTGCTGGGACGCACCTTTTTTGCCGCGTAGGACATTGCGCTCCACTGCTGGGATGCGGCATGGGTAAAAAACCAATTTGAAGTCGTTTCAAATTTCCAAGTGCTGCATATTGTCCATGAAGGCATTGTAGAATATACAGTAGTTGTAAACCGTGCAGTTGTGTCATTGAAAGTATTTTATCGAGGAGACAAACAAAAGGGGTTTACTACTAGTTCTATATATCCAAGAATTATTTTTTTCTGTTTCATAGAAAAAAAAATAATTCTTGGATATATAGAACTGAAGCCCCACATGCAGTTAGCTAATGTGATAAGATAACTTTCAACAATAGCAGATCTTAATCGAATCCAATTTACCACCTCTGGCGCGAGAATATTCCTTTTTTGCGAGCTTGTTTCCACGCTCCACGTGAACGAGGCGGGAGTATTCTATGAAATTTCAGGGTTTATCTTGAATGTAAACAAGAATAGCGAAGCCTTACTAGCCTTTGCAATGAATTCTGACCATTCTTCAATTTTTTTGACGTATAAACGTCCTAGCATTTATGCGCATTTTTCGAAAATAGAGAAAAACTGCTTTGTCCCACGCGGCAGACACGCGAAAAATCGCCTTGTCGCCAATGTGTTAAAGAGCTATAGCTTTCTTAAAAGCAGTTGGCTTGATTAATCCCTGGTAGTATCCTAAGCGAGTAGGATTAATAAGCCTGGCAGTACGGAATTCCGCACCCTTAGCAGGCGTTGTGTAGCGTCTTTTTCATGGAAGGTACCCTTATAAGGCCTCACCAAGCTACAAAATATCGACCCGAACGCCCACCGTGCCCGCCCGCCCACAAATGGACAGCCGTACCTGATGCTCGCATTGCTTCATTAGCTAAGTAAAATATGAAGCGAATAGATAGATATAAAGGGGCTGCGGTGCTGCGTGAATATATGAGTACATACTTGCAGCCATATCTACTGTAGCGGGTATTGGCACGATGCTTACGGGAGACTCGTCCGAAATTGCGTTTTGAGTCATTAGGAACGGAGGCTTTTATTTGCAGGTTTTTACCGTTTCACGTCGTTTTTTCGTTTTTTCGCCGTTTTCCCCAATATATAGGGACTTGCTAGCATTTTAGGCTGAGAATCGAATTATCGTGCCAACTGCCCTTAATGGTAGAACCTTTGAAGGCACTCCCCGCGACTGCACAACATAGGTAGCAGGGTTCGAAAACAGGAGTGCGTTGTGCTAGTTGACTTAGTAGTGAGGAAAAAAGTATAAAAAACCGTCCTCAATATGACCCTTCTCCTTGCACTTGATCGCGATCAGTGGACGAGAGTAGGATGGTCAAGATTAACAGTGATATGCAGAAGGTGACGACAGACTGCAATAGCGCGGAGAGAGAGAGAGAGAGAGAGATAGAGAGAGACTGAAAATGATGTGTGAGAGAGCACAGTGGCATTGGTATGATGACACGGCGGGCCTAAACCGAACGTTTAGTGTGCCTTGCGTGCCATTTTGCAAGTTTTGAATGTAGTGCAACCTCTAATCGCCTACTGGATCATCTGACACATCCAAGAGATTATAACCTTATTTATTGCGGAAAAAGCCTTTACGACAAGAAGAACGCGATTGTGAAGAAAAAGATCGGAGCTTTACCAAAAGTACAGTAATTCTAGTTAAAGTTGTCTGTTTCAAAGTTTTATTCAGCGTTAGGGATTCGCTGGGGATTTTCGGAATTGAGTGCGAGTTTTTCCGCTTAAAAAATTTCTTACAGCGCAACTGTTTGTTGAAATAAGAGCAGCCTTAGAAACAGGAATGTTTCCTCTTCCCAAACCACTCAACTTGTTTCCGAGGTTCCCAAGATCCATGAGATGGATGCGCTGGGTATTTATTGGGGAAAACGTCGAGGCGCTGAAAACACTTCTCCTTCGACCACTTCAATTGGGCGTATATGAACACTCAAGGGTGCATTCATATTAGCCCCTTTTGTGGAATAGAAGTATGCTATGGTTATTTCATCTCCCATTATTTTCATCTCTGGATGCGCCATGCATGAGGCTCCCACGCAGAGGTACTGGAATGGTGCAACTTCTACATAATGTCAGTTCACGCGCGCAAATGTGTTCATAAGGTTCAGAAAAGCTTACCTAAGCACTTGTTTGCAGTCTGCTTCGCTTCGGATGGTGGGGCGTGTCCGCGCGGCAGCGCTCACGCCAGTTGTTGAGTTGTGTAAGCGACACCAACTGGTGGAAAACGACTTATACTAATAATATGATGCCGGCTTGCCGATTTCCGAGAGGAAAAAAGCAAAAAAAGCCGATTGGTGTCGCGCTAAACGCATGCGGACACGCCCCTTGATCCGTAGCGAATAAGTTGCGTTGTCTGTCATTCTTGTACCTACGAACAAACGGAATGGTGCGGCCATAGCGGTGGCAGAACCCCTCAAAGACTATGATTTCACTCCCATGATCCTGTCACTGGTCCTCTTCTTTGAGAACAGGATCAGTGACAGGATCATAGGAGTGAGAATAGGCACAGAGGAGGGGTACTGGGCAGTACGCTCCGCATTTCGGTTGTTCGGAGCTGGAAAAGGACGAGTCCTACCTAAACCTGGATGAGGCCATAAGGTCGGTATTGGAAGATGGCTACCTCACAATAGATCGGTGGGTGGTCTCGGTGGCCATGTGGCTAGTGACAGAAAGGGTGTAGAAATAGTGCACAGAGGTCAAGGAATGGGAGCAAGGAACGCTGAGGGATAACGGACCCTCGGCGTAGCCACATCCTTCAACTTAGCAATCCGCAGCACCTTCTCCGCGAAAAGAAAGACCCAGAAGATGACCTACAGCAGAGAAGAGAAACAAACAGAAGTCGACCGTGTAATGGTGAGATCGTCTCAATACCGTCAAGGATATGAAGGTGCTGCCTTGGGGAAGAACTAAGCCCTCCGCACAGCAGACATTATCATAGGCCTCCCCAAGGAAGCGAAGGTAAGAACTGAGTTTAGAATTTGGTGGTAGAAAATGCACAAGGTGGAAAAGAATAGCCTCGGCGAAGAATACTGGAGGCTGTACTCCTATACCCACACGGGCCAGTCCAGAAAACGTGGACCAACGCAGCGGAGGTCCCTTTGCAGTGCAGAGGAACTCCTGCGAGAGACGCGAGGTGGGATCATAGGAGACAAGCGGTCCTAACCAGGAAGTCCAGGG